AAAAACTCTTAGGTGATCATGAGAAACATCGTTGGCAAACCAAACTCTATCTGGAACATCACCATCCAAAGCAACAGCAGAAGACAAATTGACAATATAAGTAACAGCATTAAGTGCTTCCGCCCAAAATGTATTTGGAAGTTTAGCCTCTGAAAGCAAGCATCTAACTCTCTCAACTAGAGTTTTATTCATTCTCTATATCAAACTATTTAATTGAGGTGTCTTGGGTGGAGTTTTCTGATAATGAATTCCTTGTTCTTTGCAATAGTTATTAAAGGGGCCACAATATTCACCACCCTTGTCAGTGCGAATGCATTTTAATTTCTTTTCTGTTTGTTTCTCAGCTAAGGCCTGAAATTCCCTAAATATGCCAAGTGCTTGATCTTTGGATTTCAAAGGATACACCTAGAGCTTGCGAGAATGATCATCAATGAAGGTCACAAAATAAAGTGCACCGCCTTTTGACTTTACTTTAAAAGGATCACACAAATCAGAGTGTAGTAGCTCCAATAATTCGGGTTTTCTTGAAGGAGGATGGTTATGAAAGGAAACTATTATCTGTTTGCCAGCTAAACAATGGATACGCCTTTTCAGTTTTTCTCGTTTCACTCTAGGAAGCACTTTTCTTAGCCAAACACGTAATCTCCCTCTCGCTCATATGACTCAGTCTTTTGTGCCACAATTCTGATAAAGTGTCACTTTCCACCGAGTTTATAGAATCATTAAGAATAGAGCCATGTGTCACATATAAATGAGGAGACTTGACTCCTCGAGGCCACTACTAACGAGCCCTTGGTGAGCTTCCATTGGCCATTAAAGAGGGCATTATGGTAACCTTCATCATCTAATCTTCCTGCGGAGATCAAATTGAAAGGAAAGTTGGAGCATGTTTGACATTCTAAAGAACTAGCGTTGAACCATTATTAGTTCTCAAATAAACTATGCCAACACCAAACACCTTGACTTCACTGGCATTGCCCATCTTTAACACACCAAAATCAAAAGGAGTATAAGATGAGAAAAAGTCTTTTCTTGGTGTGACATGTGAGTTAGCTCCAGAATCTACTATCCAGCTCGTCTCATGGGATACTAAATTGATAACGTTTTCATCATAAGCAAAAAGAAGGTCATCTCGAACAATAGCAGCAACTTCACTAGCATTGCCCATCTTTAACACTCCAAAATCAAAAGGAGTATAAGATGAGAAAAAGTCTTTTCTTGGTGTGACATGTGAGTTAGCTCCAGAATCTACTATCCAGCTCGTCTCATGAGATACTAAATTGATGACGTTTTCATCATAACAAAAAGAAGGTCATCTTGAACAATAGCAGCAACATTGTTCTCGTCATTTTCAACTTTCTTTCCTTCTCTAGTGTCTTGCTTTAACTTGTGGAATAACCTTTTGATATGTCCTTTCTTGCCACAGTGATTGCACGTTATATTATGGTATTTGGACCTTGACTTACTTCTGTTTTTACCTCTATTCCTCGAATCTCTTGTTCTATCTCTCCCCCGGTCTTCTGTAACCAAGATATCTGCTTGTGAGGACGAACCTTGAGATTTTCTCCTTACTTCCTCATTCAACACACCACTCTTGGCATATTCCATGGTCACCTTACCATCAAAAGCTGAATTTGTCAAAGAAATACGAAGAGTTTCCCAAGAGTGGCAAGGTATTAAGAAGCCAGTCCTTGTATCTCATCATCAAAATTAACTCCCATTCTAGACAGCTGATCAAGGACACCCTGAAAATCATTTATATGATCAAGGATAGGACTGTCCTCCTTGTATTTAAAGATCATCAATTGCTTTAGTAGGAACAACTTGTTGATCCCAGTTTTTGAAGCATAAAGAGTCTCTAGCTTTTCCTACAATGATCTCGCACGTGTCTCATTCACAATATGGTTGCGAACATTATCTTCAACCCATTGTCGTATATATTCACATACTTGTTGGTGCTCGAAATCCCAATCTTCATCAGATATAGTCTTGGGTTTATAAGCTGCAAAAACTAGTAGATGCATCTTCTTCATGAACACCAAATCTTTCATCTTGCTTCTCCGAATATTATAATTGCTCCCATTTAAACATACCATCTTGCTCATATTCGCCTTCATTCCGTAAAAACTCGGATAAATAACCAAGGCTCACGAACAACTCTTAGGTGCTAAAGTCTTTCAAACATTTATACCAATGAGCCTAGAACAATTCTCCGAGGTTGCTCTATTTATAGATAATGAGTGGCGTTTTCTGTTAAAACCAAAACCAACTCTAAATGGAAATAAAAATCGAATCCAATTTCAAATAGAAATGGAAACCAAAAGAGAATAGTATTAAATTATTGGGCCTTTGGCTGGACAACATAGGCATGGACTAACAGTTTTCCTCTGTTATTTCTTCTGTAAATCTTTTTTCTTCTTTTCATCATTATTTGTGTAGAAATATAAGAAGAGAAACTGAGATTACATTAAAAATTAAATTCATTAATCCAATAATAGAAGCGCATGCAATACTTTCGTTATACAACAGAAAATCAAATTAGTGTTAACACATATGTTGCTACATTTTCGTTGTAGTTGACAATATTATTATGCTAGATTTCTAAACTGAGGTCTGCGGGAGACCATAATTTATTGAGAAGGTTATGTACTCGATAATTTTGAAAAATTAAACTTCAAAGAGGCAAATGTATCCACTAATCTCTCCGTCTTTATTACTATACTAATATCTGAACGCGGTCAATTATTAAAGAATATTAATTGTTTTATATTATAATTTATCTTTTTAGTATATTATATCATGTTGCGCTAATAGAATTTCAACTGGCATCTTACTTCTCAATACAATATTTTATTAACTAAACAATATGAAATTAAAGAAACACAAATTATATAGTCATCATATAACATTTTTTTCTTATTTTTTATTATAAATTTTATTATTTAATATTATTACATTATTAATATGACGATTTATTAGCTCGTCCCTTGGCTTAATATCATTGTCCACTACTCCTTTTGACATAATATTTCTTACTTCTCAAACAATTATTTTTAAAATTTTATTGTATTGTTCACAATTTTTAAATTTTCTAAATTTATCAATAATATCTTTGTGTATTATTTACTTAATTTATTTTATTTTTAAAATTAATTTAAAGTTGAAAAATCCTCATATTAACTCTATTTTCATCTTTGTACATTTTTATACTGTAATATTAGAAAGTTTTCTTCATTTTGAATTTTACATATAATCGAAATACTATCATACATGAATCAAATTGTAAATTTTGAAATTTTTCAAAATATAAACATATAAGTAATTTTACTATTTTATCATAAATCTACTGATATTCTTAATAATTGCTATTTTTGTATTATTTGCCATAAGCAAATGAACTTTTCTTTTATCTCAACTCAGATATTTTTATCTGTACATTCGAAATAATAGTTTTATCTTTAAATTCAAACTCAAATTATTTTCTTTATCAAAAAAAAAATATTGGCAGTTTGAATTAGCAGTTTTTTGTAGATATAGACAATCATATTAGGAAGAAACTACGCAGTTTTTTATTTTTTTATTTTTGTTTTCTATTTTAAAATAATTTTAAATTTTCAACTTTGTTTGAGCTTAATTTCATTTTATTGTTTACAATTCTTCACTTTTCAAAAATTTTCAATAATATCTTTGTGTATTATTTACTTATTTTATTTTATAAATTAATTTAAAGTTAAAATATCCTCAAATTATCTATATTTTCATCTTTGTACATTTTTTTCTACTATAATACTATAATTAATTTTCTTAATTTTAAATTTTACATTTAATCGAAATACTATCATATTTAAATCAAATTGTAATTCTTAATTTTTCAAAAATATAAACAGATAAGTATTTAATTATTTTGTCATATATCTACTAATATTCTTAATCACTGCTATTTTTACAGTATGTGCCATAAGCAAATGATCTTCTCTTTTATCTCAACGTAATATGTAAATTCGAAATAATATTTTTATCTTAAATTCGAATTCAAATTATTATTTTTTATTATAAAAAAATTTGGCAATTTGACTTGGTAGTTTTTATAGATATACCTTACCATATTAGGAGAAACTACTCCCAATTTTAAAACTCCTAACTTTGTTGGAGCTTAATTTTATTTTATTGTTCACAATTTTCAATTTTCTAAACTTGTCAATAATATCTTTGTCTTATTTACTTAATTTATTTTATTTTCCAAATTAATTCAAAGTTGAAATATCCTCGTATCATCTCTATTTTCATCTTTGAACATTTTTTATTCTATAATATTATAATCAATTTTCTATTTTTAATTTTACATATAATCGAAATACTATCATATCATGTTGGCATCTTCCCAATTTAAAATAGAATAGGTTTTAAAATAAACAATTTTAATATATAAAATTATTGTTTCTATAAAAAAAAATAGTTCAGCATGTTTAAATTCAAATTCAAAGATAGCAACTAATTATTAACAGTATATTATGCATAATTTATTTATTTTAAAATTTAAATTAAAAAAGAAAGTAATTATTACCTAACCTAACTAATTTTGTCATAAATTGCCAAGTGGCCTATTGTGAGGCTATCACTTGGCTTAATATGGGAGTTTTTTTCTCTCCTTTTAATAATATATAGATATAGATGATTATTTGTTTATATACTTATTTATTTGATGTTATTACATGCTGGACCACGCTATTCATATGAATTCCTTGTAACTTGGTTTAAAATTTTCCCGTTCATATCAGAAATAGCGGAATCCCGGAGACACTGACCACGCTATGGACAATTGAAACATTGGGGATTCCTAGCGATTAAGCAAAAAGAAAGAAAACTAATTACCTCCAAATGCATGGATCACATCTCGAAAGTCGCTCCAAATCCCATCCACATTCTTGAAATGTTGAGGAGAACGATTGAGATTTGAGCATCAAGAACACAGAATTTGACAGCGTTAAGAAAGATGACTGAAGGAAGTGGGAAAAGCAAAGAGTCTACCATAGAGCGTAGGAAAAAGTGTAATGAGGAAGAAAAAAAAGTACTCCCAAGTCTAATGCCAGGACACTACATATTTGTAACCGGGTATATTTTCCTTTAACTAGACAAAATTAGCTAGGATTTACAAAAAAAAAAAAAAAAAAAAAAAAAAAAAAAATTATGTCAAAAGTGCCTTTTCATCGATGGGCAATATAATCTCCTTTAATTTAGCGGCTGGAGTTCTTTTTCATGTGTTTCAACGCTTCCAACAGGAATATATGGGGTTTCTTGCCTTCGTCTCCAAATTAACCATCCCATGGAAGCTGATAATCCAATTATCAGGACAACTAGTAGCGCTACCACTACAACAAGGTAATTTTGCTGCCATCGTATCCTAAATCGTTGCAATGAAACCATATCAAACCAACAACTTGATAGTTACCACACCAAAAAAAATCAAAAACTTATATCATATGAAGTATTAGCAAAGAATTTATGATATAACCACATACTAAAGATAATATCCCAATTAATTGTCAAAACAATTAATGTAATATTCACTTACCAAAAATATTGTTGTGGTGTGTTATCCAATCTCTTTACATTAGAGTTAATTAAGGTAATACTTTGCTATTAAGATTTTGAGATGCAGCACATTAAACTTTGATCAAAAAAATTTCAAATTATAGTATGCGAATAGGGTAAAAATGAAGTTTTTTGGTTATATATAAGCTATTGAATCTCCTTGCCATAGGGGAAAAAATTTAGTTTAGTAGCAAAGAGGGTTCAAAAGTTGCTTTCAAGTCACAAGTTCAAATCTCAATTATGACATTCTAGTATTTTTTGAATCCCTTATAAAAAATTCCTGGCTCCGCCACTATATCCACCAATCCAAGAACTTGGGAAAAATATTGAAACAATGAAAAATGGAGACGAAAGTCATCACCTATTCATCATTATCCTTGGAATATACAGTTGAACTGGTGCCATGCAATGTAGACTCATTCACGTTTCCTAATTTAGGAATGTAACTTACAGACGTGTTTAAAGGCAAGATGAACAGATGCATGTCAAGTGTTTCCCATCTGAAATGCAATGCGGAGATTTATTTTGCATTATGAAAAGAAAAGGCACATTTTTTTGACAAATCAGGATAATTTTATAAGTAATGCTATGATGCTAAAAGTTTGTACAGCATAAGTTCTGCAATATTTATGAACATGCAAAGAATGCAGATTGCTTTTATACCTCTTTGGTGGGGGTTCAATGTCCCATTTGACTAATTTATAACTTCCAAATGTATCAGGAAGATGAAAACGATTCTCAGCCAACCGGTTTATTATTTCCTGCAAATAGATAAATGATGAATAAAGGGTTCTTCAATCAAGAAATAGTCCTCACATATTCTAGAGGTTTAGAGATACTGTTGCAGTGGCATTTGGCATGTAGTTTGAAGATCCTGCAGGAAAGATGGCCCATCTAATGAGGGAATCATTTCCTTCTGTCGAAAAGTTCATTAAGTGAACCTGCAAGGTATCTTCCAATAAGTGACATATCATATTGAACAAAATTAAAATACAGTTAAGTAACTTAAAGAAATGGGATATACAGTTTTAGATTACATCAGACTGACACAACTTTGGGTCATGCAAAAATTACCTGTGAGACGTTAACCTCCAACTCTTGCGCAATAAAATGGGCAAGCTCTGGGACACGAGGCTTCAATTCTGAGTAATCAACACTCAGTGACATATAAAATGATACGAATCCAATTTTGATTTTCCCTGCCAATTCAGGTCAAAGATGAAATAATAACAATCATAAGTATCTGCACTGGGAAAAACTGAGTTCAGTACCCATTCAATCTTGCACAGGACCATTCCTAATTATAAGAAACGGTGTAACTCAATGGAATCAAGTGCAGTACCCCCAAAATTGTAAATTGTTACCAAATTAAAGCAAGGAGTCAAATTATCAGAGGGTTATGCCAAGGCCAACCCTATGAGGACAACGCCTTCCTTGTATCTGGCAAAGAAGTAGGGAGATGAATTCCTGAGGGCTCATTCGGATGGTGTTAGTAGAATTGATCAACCAGTTGGACAGCCAGAAAAAGTAGCAAAGATGGGCAGAGAAGACATGGAGGGTCACAGCATGCGTGGAATGTTTCCTCTTGGAGAAGCCCTACTACTCCTCAAAGTGATCCATGGCCGAGACAGGGAGGGTCCCTGGAGGTGGCTAAAAGTGGCTAGTAGAGTTTTTTTTTGTGCTGAACAGTGTTATTGAATGTTCGTTTGAAGCATACATAAATGTAACGACCCGATCGGTCGTTTTGATCACTTGCATTTCTGTTCGGTGGTTCGAGGCCGTGAGTAGCTTCATATGATGTATTACGACTTGCGTGTATGGTCGGCTTCGGTTTTCGAGCATTTCAGGATTGATTTGGAAGAATGATTCTCATTTTAGAAGCTTTAAGTTGGAAGAGTTGACCAAGTTTGACTTTTGCGTATTTGATCTCGGATTAGAGTTTTGATGGTTCCGTTAGGTCCGGATGGTGATTTTGGACTTAGGCATGCATCCGGATGCGGGTTTCGAGTCTCCTAGGTTGTTTTAGCTTGAATTGGCGAAAATTGGATAGTTGAAGGTTTGGAAGGTTGATAGGTTTGACCGAGAGTTGACTTTGTTGATATCGGGTTCGGATTGCGGTTCCGAGAGTTGGTATAGGTCCGTCGTGTCATTTGGGACTTGCAAGCAAAATTTGAGATCATTCTGAGTTGATTTGGTATGGTTCGGTATGAGTTTTGGAAGTTGAAAGTTCATTAGTTCATTAGGCTTGAATTTGAGGTGCGATTCGTAGTTTTGATGTCGTTTGGTGTGATTTGGGACCTCGAGTAGGTCTATGTTATGTTTTGGGACTTATTGGTACGTTCGAACGGGGCCCCGAGGGGCTCGAGTGAGTTTCGGGGTGATTTCGGATCATTTTCCTTCATGTTGTGAGAAAAAAAGAATAACTATAGTGAAAAATTCGCTGGACCCATCTGCATCTCTGGAGCACAAATCTACACCAACAAATCTGTGACAAGCACGAAGGTTTTCTAGAAATTGACTTCAGTGAAGAGAAGGCATCTCAAGAGTGGGGTTACTCACAATGTTCTATATGCAGTAACTGTTATACTCCTTAAAATTATAGTTTCCTTCAGTAAAAAAAGTTTGTTTGGGTCCAAACTCCAAAAAGGTTAAGAATGTCATGACATCAGAATACGTCTTTACTAGCGGGTGCTTCTCAGGAACTCTGGAATGCTAAGGAGATAGATGAATACAAGACTTGATGAAACAATACACAAATGCAAGCTCAAATGTCATTTTGAAAGCTGACATTTTAGACACAGGAACATTCATGGACCTAAATCAAAGAGAGGATGTGAAATCATCAAAGTTAACCTAATCTTAGGCGATATAGCAAAAAACCAACATAGCAAATCAGAAACCAAAATGAATTAAAAATATTAGGGGGAAATGATGCAAAACAGCCTGGTGGAATTATAATGGGCAGCCCGGTGCACAAAGCATCTCGGGTTTACGCGGGTCCGGGAAGGACCATACCCCAAGGGGTGTGAGTATGATGTAGACAACCTAATTCAAGCAATAGTGGCTGCTTCCACTTCTCGTGACATGTAGGTCAGACGGAGACAACTTTACCGTTGCTCCAAGGCTCTCCTTCTGATAGAATTATTGAAATAAAACCAGTTCCACTGCAAAACTGGATAAAAGCACGACTGAAAGGCATACTAGTGGTGACAAAAAGATAGGAGAACAGTTTCTTCATACCAGGTGCATAATGCTCCGGAGGTAAACTAGGTGCCAGCGCAGGAGTCAAATTTGCACTGGAGTTTGTGTTGTCCAAGCCTGAGGGCAATGGTGGAGGCGAAGGAGATAAATTTAGTCGGTCCCATATCTCAGAACAATTAGTTTTCCAAAAACCAATCCTTTCATTTTCACGATCGTAGGTTACAAGAGTGTTGCGGACAACAATTCCTGTTGCAATTAAAAGCAAAAGGCACGCATGTTACAGCTTATACAACTGAAGAATTTGGCAGATGAACTTTCCCAAGATGCGAAAAGATATATATGACAAATACCTCCAAGAAGAGTAGTTGGATCCTTCCCATTCTGAAAAATTCCCAAGCAGTAAGCCCCACGCACCTTTGAGTGCTTTATAGCAATCAGTTACAGTAAACAAAAGGGTAGAATTAGTCAACATAGATATACAGAGAGAAAATGGAGCCACTTATCAAAACAAAAACAAAAAATGTAGCCACTAGGAGAGATGAAGCCAAAAGGAGATACAGATTCTAAAGGCAAGGTAGTAAGATAAAAACCATGTGGATTAAGATGCCTACCCTGAATAAGTAGTTTTCAGGAGTGAGAGATAGTTTCTTTCCATTGCTAAATACCATGTCGATAGGTGGAAATGATTTTGAGAGCTCTGAGATGTCACTGCAATATACAAGACATTTAATACAAGATACAACACCAAAAATAAAGGAAAGAAAAAGTTAATGATCTAACATTTCTGTAGTTAATTTATTACCTTCCAGCACCAGAAAAGCATATATCTTTATAATTCGGGTCAGGCCCTTCGATCACTCTTAGAGAATGAAGTTCTTTCATGACCTGAAATAAAATTTTCAGGAGTTGACTCGAGAACGAAAAAGAAAATTGTCTTAATAAAAAAATTCAACAAAGTATCCACCACCCATTGGTAGAATATTGTTAGTAATACACAATCCATCAATCCACTTCTTTTGGCCCCATAAATCAACTTATTCCTCTACACAAATAAACATATCCAAAAATGAATGATAAGAAGCTAAAAACATCAAAGATTTGCAGAAGCTTTCTAGTATATAATATATAAAAAAAAGCTTTCAAAAGTTCTTTTTTAGTGACATAATTGGAAGAAAAAATTGCATATTAAAAGGAAAAAACAACTATAATAAGTAGTTAACAAACGTAAATTAACACCTTTAAGATGCTGCAGCACAAGGAAAACGGTTCGGTGAGTTTCGGAATTATAGGATCACAAACCACCTGGATTCTTTGTTTCTCCTTCAAAGTTATGTAGTAAGCATTGGAGCCTTAGCCTAATAACTGAGTGTAATTAACAGGTTTTACTTTTACTTCAAATCCCACATATTAGCAGGCATTCTCCAACTATGTCGAGCCTGTTACCAAAATTATGCAGTTGTTTGTTCCACCAACATGTGGTGTAAATCGTTATTCAGGCAAAGGTGACTTAAATTGTCACATGCAACAAAAAGACATTAACCACAAACACATCATTCAGATGAAGTTCAGCTTTCACAGATTCCATTCTTCTAGTCACAAGCTCGCAATTTTCACCAGCACTTGTCTCTGGCAGAGTGCATTAAAAAATGATAAATATGATAGTGCATAATCTAGAAAACATCTTACAGCACTCTTGAAGGCCACAAATGCAGCTTCTGGAAGGTAAGCATAGGTAGTACCACTATCAAGCACAGTCCCATGTTTTCCATCAAAAGTCTGAGGATTTAGATTCAGGGCCTTCCCAGCAACATGTATCTCCTTCAGCTCAATATTGTAATATGGACTGTTGCCATCCGAGACTAGAGTAAATGCATAAGATTTATCGAGTGTATTTGTTATAACACCTAAAATTCCCATGTGATTAAAACAATTATATCCAATATATACCTGCGTACAGGATCTGAATGGGAAAAGACCATTTCAGAAGGGGGTTTTATTCCTCCAAGAACCATGGCACCACCACCGAAATCCATTCCACCATAACATAAGGAGAATGAATCACTAATCACATGTTTCTCAACAAGTTGATCCACTATACTTAGATCCCCTCGGCCTAAGCCCATGATACCATCAGCGTGTTGGCTGTAAAGGTCACCATTTTCCAGATTTTCACATCCAAAAACAGCTCGTTCGGGTGCTAGCTCACTTTGGTTTCCAAAGGACACGATGTCCTCTCCGAGCACTCCACTACTAGAACTCATCTCGGCATATTGTCTTTCATAAATACATTGCTCCCTCTCATTGTCACAGGTACAATTAATATTGCACTTTACAGGTCGATAGGTACTTGACATTTCTGGCTGAAACTTAGGATCCTAATTCAAAGAACAATGAAATAAGTGCATTGATCAAAAAGAGAGAAGTGATATTCAATCGATTCTGTAGCAAATTAAGCATTTATCAACAAGATTGATGCAAACTCACTGCTAGGTCAACAGTTTTCCGGAAAAAAAAAAAACCAGCACGGTGACGAGTGCCAAGTGGCTATATTTACAAAGCAAACACCAGTTACTGTACATTTCACAATAACAAGCAAAAATAAGAAAGATACATCAACTCACTATCATGAAAGAAATCAACTCTTTACAATAAAGCAGCATATCTCATCAACAAAGTGAAGCTTAAAAATCCATCTGTGTAACTACTTCAACATTGTTTTCTTCTACTTCATTTTCCTTTTCTTCTTTTTTTTTAGGGCAAATTAGATGAATTTTGTTATACAATGCTCCAATACAACCCCACCCCTGCCCCACCCACACAAAATGTAAACAAAGAATAAAACCACAATAAGCCCTAATAGACCCACTAATCAAAATCTGTCCCAAAGAACAAAAATTCCATTAACACTAAAACCTAGAGCAAAACTAACCAATTTTCCTTTGTTTATTTCATTACTCAGTAGCCAGTGCTGTAAGCGGAATAGTAAGATATCTGAAGCTTGGGGTTTCTCTTTTTCGATTATCTCTTTCTCTAATGTTGGTAACGGAAACAAGGGTTAATAGTATATTAAGCTTGAATTCAGCAGAGGTTTTATGTCCAAAAGAAGCTTCTGCTGACTCATAACCTAACATTGGGTACTTTAGATTAATACTATAGTTTTGTGGAAGTAAAATAAATTTAGTGAGTAGATGATTAAAAGAGAGAATGTAGGTGAGAAATGAAGGAACCTGATGGTTGCCACACTGTTCACAGGTAGAGCAAGGGACATAGGTAACGGTACTGCCAGTATCAACTATAAGAGCAAACCTCTGGGGTGGAGTTCCGATCCAAAGACGAGTCGAATAATATCTGCATCCTCTCAATTTAAAAATCAACTTAAAACAGAGAGAGATAGGCATAGGCATCCATTCATTTTAAGGAATTCGGATACAAGTTTCTGACCCGTTAAGGAGGAGATCGTCGTGGAGAGGCATACGAGCACTTGAAGGGCTTTTCTGGAGGTGTCGACGGGAGAGTTGTTCATCGCGTGGTCGGGAGGTTTCTTTAGGAGGAAAAAGAGGGAGAAACATTGTACTTCGATCCCCGTCGTTGATGCTATTGGGTGAGGGGAGAAAAACAAAGCTTTCATTTGAAACGTCTGAAATTCCACTAGAAACGACAATGAATAGCAGAAAGATGAAGGAAATTAGGATAGGGAGATTGTGAGTTAAGAGCGCCCGCGCCATTTTAGAGCTCAGTTATGGCTCAGGCGACAACACAGTTTAAAGCCAGATCGGAAGGAGGATTGCTGGAAAGATCAGAGGAAAGGGATGGCGTAAGGTTATTACCTGACAAAGGCCAAAGCCGGGTTTGTTTTTTTTTTTTAAAGCAAATATACCGACTGGTTGCCTGGTGTTGTTTTTATTAATAATCAAAATAAAACTAAAATGTGTGATCTCAGGAAATGAAAGTGCGCAAAATGAAAATACATGAATTTTAATATCAAAGTCATGTGTAAAGCACTCCTTTGATAATACAAAAAGAACTAAAAACCATGATCCTTGAGAAAGCCAATTTGCATATGACTTGCAATAAACTCTTGAATAGCTGCCTCTCATTGCATTTGATTCTGGGCATTTGCACTTGTTATTTTGAGGTTTAGGCAGCTCCACCTGATCTCTTTGACTGAAATATAAGCTTGACAAGATTGAGCCAAGCCCCCTCCAAGATGCAAATCCGGGTCAAGGTAGTAGTGTTGTTATTGTGCCTTTGGCTCCTTGTTACGCGTTCATTCCTGATCCTTCTTGCTGAGAACCTGTTGTAGTTAGCTTCCTCATGTATGATAGATGTCCATTGTATCTGGTAACTCCTCCACTTATTGCTAAAAAGATCTGCATAAAGATAAGAAGTCTCATGGATAGTCATATCTGATCTGGGCAGTATAAATTACTTACGCATGTATCTGGTCATTGTAGCTTGATGTGCTGTGATAGGATTACTTTGTGTGATCCTCAGGAAGTAGTAGATGCAAGGGAATATGCATTGTTTATTGTAGTGCTTCCCGCTTCCTCCATTCTGGACATAAATATGATCCACAAGTTAAGGTTTATGTGCAGCCTTTTCTTTGTCTTGTTGCGTGTATATTTGGGTTGACCTATGTGGTGGTTCACCTATAGGGAAAGAGTATCAACGATACTAATACCATCCTTATAGGTTCGTCCACAACATTGAGCCAAGTCCCCTCCAAAGTACCTGTAAAATCAGAAAACATGTTAGAGGAAAAATTATTCCTTCTCTCGTCCCTAAGGATTTGAGTTGGAAGTATAATGTCATCTGCTTCCCTTATGGATTTCCCCATTCCTCCAGCATACCTTCTCCTCCTTCCCTTTCCAATCAAAAATCTTCTCCTTGATTTTATATCCATCATCAATAATCCTTTGTCTTGGCAGTCCTTACCCTAAGATAAGGTATTTGGAGCTTGTCATTATTCAGAATCTTTCTCCCATGTGTGTCCAGTTCCCAGAAGGAGTGCACCTGTATAATGGCTTATTGATCCAATGTCCAGTTAGCTAAATGATCGGCTAACTTGTTGCCTTCTCTCAATACATGAACTACTTGGAATACACCCCTAGACAGTATAGCTTTGATTTCATCAATTTGATTAGCTATGTTCCAAGGTGGTTCCCATACTTCCTCCAGCACTTTCCTCATGAGTAAAGAGTCAGTCTCAATTATGCATGGAGTATACTGCATATGAATTATGTACTGAGAACTTCAAGAATAGCATGTGCTTCAGCTTTGTTATTAGCTACATCTTCAACTGCATCTGCCTGGGCATAAATAAGATCCCATATTCTATCCCTTATGCAAAAACCATATAAAGCTCCTCCATTATCCCTTCTACGAGCCCCATCAGTATTACATTTAATTCAACCATTAGGAGGCAATTGCCACAACACCTTAGTATACCCCAATCTAGGGACATGATGTAACAATTTCTCATGTAGATCCGGCCAGTAGGAGTAATACCCTTAAAGCATGACCTTCTCACCTTCAGTAACATTTGTATTGAGGTTGATATCTGAAAGATCAACCTATTAAATGACACATTCTTTCCATACTTTCTTCAATTCCTCTTCTTCCGTAAGTGCCAAACTATCAGACTTGACATAGCTTGATACACTGCCTTTAAACTTGTATTAGCAGGTTTGCTCCACCATTCATTTATCACTTGTACAAGCTGCTTCCCTTCTGTTTTGATCCCTGCAGGTGCACCAAAGTAGTTCCACACAAATCTGGCAGCTGGAGATGTCAAGAAGACATGAGGCAATGTCTCCTCTTTAGGGTTCCTACAACACCAACATCTTGAAGATGTAAGTACCCGAGCCTTAGGAACCAATCATCTAAAGGTAGTTTTTCTTTACATAACCTCCACATAAAGAAACTGATCTTGAAAGGCAGCCCCTTATCCAAAATAATTTGTACAATTTGCTTTCTTCCATCTCCTTCTTATGTAATGCCATGCAGATTTCACTGTAAAATTACCTTTTGTTTCCAGTTGCCACCAAGGCTTGTCCTTCATAAAGTGATCAGAAGGTGGTGTGATATTCTCCAAAACATGATCATCAAGTTCATCAGGTAGTAGTGCTCTCAAAAGTACTTCATTCCATACCCCATTCTCCATCACTTCATCAACATATCTTATGGATTCATCACACCAATGGTCTGGACCTGAAGCATGATAAAGAGCTCCAAGTCCAGTCCAATTATCATACCAGAACTAGGAGTTTCCACTCTTCAGTTGCCATCATACTTGGTGCTCCACCTCATCTCTCATTTGAAGCATTTTTCTCCACATATGATATCCAAGTCTCCACGGTACTACTACTTCATTGATTTTCTTGCAGTACTTGTTTCTCATAAATGTAGACCATAATGAGTCCATTGTTCTATAATTCCATCAAAGCTTTGCAAACAATGCCTTTGACACATCATGTAATGACCTAAAACCAAGACCTTCCTCACTTTTAGGTAGGCATAAATTCTCCCATGAATCCCAGTGTCTTTCCCTTCCATTACCTTAGTTGCTCCAGTAAAATCTAGCAAATATCTTGTGCAATTGGTTGATCACATATGCTGGTGGATTCACAGCTGACAAGATGTGTATTGGCATGCTCTCTAAAACATGTGATATCAGTACTGCCCCGCCACCAATTGATCATAGCTTACCCTTCCATGATGATAGCCTCTCTTGAACTTTGAAAATGATGTTCTTGTAAAAATCTTTCCTCTTGCTGTAGAATATAGGACATCCCAAATATGTAAATGGGAAGGGGTGTCTTTGAAACTCAGTGATCAAATGGATAGTGTTAACTTCATCTACAGGTGCACCTTCATGCATATAAAAGGAAGACTTTTCCTTGTTGATCTTCTGACCTGAAGCTGCCTCATATTCCTCCAATACATTCATAATAAGTTGTATTGCCCCATAGTGAGAAGAATATAAAATGATTGTATCATTTTCATATGATAGATAGTTGATGTTGTGACTCCATTTTGGCATACCAAAGCCTATGAAATCTGGATTGTCAAACAGGGCATCTAAGGCTCTCCCCAGCACTTCAACTGCTAAAATAAACAAAGTAGGAGAAAGGGGATCTCCTTGTTTAACACCCCTAGAAGACTTGAAAAAGCCATTGGCATGCCCATTCAAAAGTAATGAGTACCAGTTATTAGACACTAATCTGAATATCATGTCAATGAAGATCTCTCCAAATCCCATTTGCCTCAACACCTTTGTCAAAAACAACCATGAAACTCTATCATAAGCCTTTGCCATGTCCAATTTGATTATCACATTTAATGGCTTCCCTATCAACCTTATGTCAGTTATGATCTCCTGAGTTAACAAGATATTCTCCATAATGCTTTTACCTTTAACAAAACCAGCCTGATTAGGAGAGATTAATGAAGGCAGTAGCTCTACTAACCTCACATGGATCACTCTTGATATGATCTTATTGGAGAAATTGCTTAAACTGATTGGCCTCATATCTGAAAATGTAGCTACATTCGTCTTCTTTGGAAGCAACACTAGGTTTGTGTGAGTGATGAACATTGGAAGTTCTGCACCACAAAAGAATGCCCTCACCATATTAAGCACATTGACGAGCGCAAAACACACACTTAAATATGCTCGCTAGTCGAATATAGTATAATATAATACCGTATCCACATGGATTGGAGTTAAATAGTATTTTCGTAGTTTATAGCTTGGTTGCTATCCAAGATGATCAACAGTTGAGAATTATGTGATTAAAAACTACAATTAACTAAGAATCTACGGTTATTGACTAATGACAAACGAACAAAAGTAAGCAAGGAAGATATCAATGGGAGAAAATAGGGATTGATTGGATAGGTGCAAGATAAATGTCTGGGATTTAACTCTAGTTAATTCACTTCTAATGTTCAAGTGAGTCTCTCTAATTCACTCAATTAGTAGTTCAAACGTTTAGTAGAAACTCCTCTCTCGATTAAGTCTCAACCGCATAATATGAACCAATTTAAGCTCAGTGAAGATATGCAAGAATTCGTAGTGTATTGGTCTTTAGGAGAACCTCTCTCGATTATCCTCCTAACTAGGGTTAAACAATATTTCAACTAGCCTCTTTCGATTACTAAGAAGAATTAATGAACTCTACCTACAAGATAATGTAACGATATCACAAGTTATGCCTCTCTCGATTGCATGAACATGTGAATATAGATGCAACTATTAAAACATCCAAAACGATTCATTACATAAAACTAGAGCTATCATCCACAAACAAATATCAATACACCAAATCCATCAAACCCTAAAGAGAACTACTCCATAGATATGGAGTAATTCATCTCAAATATGTTTAAAGTAAAGAAAAACATAAAACGATCCAAACTCTTGTCTTGAGTGAGGATTGAATGATGAATTCCTTGTGCTCTTGCTTCTCCACCTCCTCCTTAGCCTTCTTAGGTCCTAGATGTGTCAAAAGCCAGAAAATAACATTTTTCCATGTATATATACCAAGTAGGGTCAGGCCCAAGCCAAAACACCTTTTCCTACGCGAAATAGGACAACTTCCGGCGTTAGACGTGCGCAGCCGCGCACCTGGGACTGTGCTCGCACATATGGCAGCGCACTTTGGAAGGTATTCTATCTCACATGCACGCCCAGTGCGTGCTCGCGCACCTGGGTGGCTTGCTCGATTCTCCGTTTCTTTCGTTAAGTGCATGATTGTCCGTTGATCCCCGAACACGATCCCAACTTAATCCTTGAGCTTTTACTTAGACTTCAAAGCTCTAGAATAGCTTGAATTCATGCCATAACATCTACATAGCTCGG